GGGGCAGGACCAAACCCTTCCCCCAATCACTTTGTAGAAGGCACAGCAGGGTGCGGGGGAACAGACAGTACGTCTGCGTGAGAGGGGCCAGGGCATGGGAAAACGTGCCGGTGTCGGTACAGGAGACGAGAGGAGCCTGAGAAGAACCACCCAGGCCGCTAGGCCACGTCGTATCCCTGTCCCAGCCGCCGGCACATCGCTACCCGCCAGGCCTCAGGGGCTGAGTCCCCCTAGTGACCCACGGCAGCGCGCTCCTGGAGCCCAACCAGACTGGAAACCGCCTCACCGCCTGCAACAGCGCCAGGAACCCGAGTGGCCAGAGCCTTAGACCCGTGGATCCTGTAACGGCCGCCGCCATCTTAGTGCGGGACTGCTCTGTCAGCGCAGCAGCGGGACCGCTCTCAGGACCTCACCCTCGTAGCGGACCTTTCATTGCCTACGGCGAAGGAAGCAAAGTGGACTTGCTCCTTACACCGCCGAGGGAAAAGATTGTCCTCGGGCTACTTTGGTAGAGAACCTGAAGCGGAGCTACTGGGCTCCATTGGTGGAAGGGGCTTATAATGTAGGTGAGAGGTATCATTTCGGGACTTGGCTCAGGCACCAAAGTAGGGACCCTACACGGGTCCTTTTTCTTCTAGTTGTCTGAGTTACGAACCTGAAGATTGACAACCAGATGAACCAATAGTACTGCGACTCTGCTGATTGCCGCGATGCCGACGCCAATAATAGAGAGCGAGAAGGGCCGGACTTCAGGACAGGTATCCAATCGAGAAAGAACGCGTGGGGGGAGGGGCGTCAGGTCCGTACATCCGCTTTATTGGGGTGGAGCATTGGGGGGCGGTGTATTGGACTGGCTGGTCAATGGAATAGGGTAGAGGGCGGGACGAAAGAGATGTCACCCAATGGGAAAGGAGCCGTGGGCTGCGCGTGTGTTTCCTTAGTCAATGGCGGTATGAGGTGGGCGTGTGCGCGGTTGGGCGTTCGGTTGCTGAGCAGCGCACGCAGGCGGGGGGAGGGGCGCGGGCTGGCGGCCGTGCAGGGAAGCTAGCGGGGGGCGGGCTGGCGCCGGGGGGGTGGCTGAGACCGGGCTGGCGGGAGGAGGCCTCGGGAGGGATGTAAGGACCGTCTGTCCCTTCGCGCGCGCTCCCCGCCACCCTCGCGCGCTGTGTCCCTGCGGCCCGGCTGAGGCTGCTTTCGGCCTCTCCGGCCGGGCCCCACGTTATGTCGTGATCCCGGGCGGGCGGCGCTGCTGCTGCTGCTCATGGGGCTGCTCAGGATTATGCTGCCGCCCAAGTTGCAGCTGCTGGCGGTGCTGGCGTTCGGGGTGACCGTGCTCTTCCTAGAGAACCAGATCCAGAAGCTGGAGGAGTCCCGCGGCAAGCTCGGTGAGGGCCAGAGAGCCAGGGCCGGGGTACCTGGGCAGGGGCGAACGGGTAGTTGGAGGCGATGGAGCGGCGCGGTGGAGGCTGTTGTGGTGGGCGACAGGGCTGGCGAGAGCCGGTGCCAGATGCCCAGAAGAGGGATGAGGCCCAGGGACTAGAAGCGGATATTGGGGCTATGCAGGGATTGGGTGGGTGCTGCGTAGGGCTGAGAGGGGTGCAGTGAAGAAAGGTGGAGTTGGAAGGGGAGAGATGGCAGTGCCCAAATCGGGACCAGCACCAGGCTAAGGGTTTGGAAAATGTAACCTTCCCGTTTTGATATGTTGAGACCTCGATAATATGGAAACACAAGTCTTTTTCTCCTATGTAGTTCCTGTGTTTACGTGTCTGGTAAACATAAATAACTTGAGGTGAGCGAAATGATTTGGAGGAGCCTGTGAAAGGGGTTGTAAACCTTAAAGTCAGCAACCCTGACCTTTGAGTCCACTTGTATGTTCACTATGCAAGATCATTAAACCAATGAGAGAGAGTAGTGTTTTGGGAAAAATTTATTGTTACAAAGCAAGTACATGCATATTTATAGTCACAAAGCAAGTAAATGTGTTGTGTGAGAACAGTTGGAGATTGAGGAGCAGCAGTGATAGCTTAAGTTCAGCTCTGCTTCCTCCTCAATGTGGTGCTACACATATTTAGTCTAATGTACTTTATGTTTACATAATAAAAACGCAGAATGTAATTATAGTTAAAACTTGTGTGTTTGAAAATAATCTTAGATCACTAATTATAAATTCATATGATTTGTTTTACCCTTGCTGAATACCTGTTTTTTAAATACCTCTGTTTAGCAGGTAGTGGTGGTGTTTTTACTGGCCTTGTGTGCTGTGTTACTAAAGAGTAGTTAAACAGTAAAAAACTAGTATCTAATAACTACCATATAAAATTTGTTTTTTCCTGTAAAAAAAAAAAAACCTTTCACTTTTCAGTTGAAATTTGTTTATTAAAATAACATACTACTTCATGTGTACATTAAATGTTAAACAGCAGAACAAGAATTACAAACTAATGTAAGTAAGTGCCATTTCTAAATTAGTACACTTGATTTACCCAAGAATTGTAACTGGAAAGCAGCAGAGCCCAGAAATACCTAAAAATGTTGTAATAGGCTGAGAACAAGTTCAGTGCCTATTTATATTTGCCTAATACGCTCACAGTAGTAGGATATGGAAAGATTCTTGATATTTCAATGTATATTTATTCCCTTTTTTTCTTATATAAACTCAAACAATGTTCTTACTAGTGATTAAAAAAAGAAATAGATTTTGAATGCAGAGACAAGTTTAATGTTGACAGCCTATGAAAGAGGTGACATCAGAGTAACTTGAAGTATTCAAGTCTGTGTTGAAGATTTATTAGACATGGTTTATCTGGCTTAGGTAATGGGAGTTAGAGTCCTGTGAGAAGGTACTGGTGATTGGATGAGCTTTATAGTTCTCTTGATTTATACTTCAACTAAAAATTACTAATTTGAGGGGTGATATTTGGATTTTGTTGGTAGCTTAAATAATTTAAGTAGTGTTAGTGAAAAAGGGAAATACTTGTTATCGAATCAAAATATTACAGCACTCAAGATTTAATTGAGTTTTGCATAAGTCTATTAATTGCTTGGCACTAGTGGTTTCAGTGCATCTGTATCTGGCAATGGATATCATGCAGGAAAATCCAAATCCTGCACAAAAGGATTAACATAATGCTGGTAAGATTTCCTGACACTTTGCTCCTCCTTAATAGATAGGTGCTGGACATGATTAAGTTACATATTTAGAGGATTTAAAATATGCAGCTCAGCTTGACTCAAGACAAGCATAATATTGCTATGTTATGTTGGTGCTGTTTTTATTTAAAAAAAATGTTTAAACTTTCTAAGCTTAGATATTCAAAATATAATGGGAAGCCTTATAATGAGCTTGTTAGTGGCTGTCAAAGTTGGTGTGGGAGAAACAAGGGATTTTTATTTTTAGTGTTTAGTTTATTCTATGTGGGCTTAGCAACCTGTTAGATCACGTGTGTTTATCTTGATGAGGTATTACCTTTGTTCAATAGACTTCTTGCTACAATAATGCTCACCAGAAGGTGCTCCTACTTTTTTGTGTATATTGATGTATATTAGCAGCTGTAGGTCATCTTTTTGGAAATGATCTGTAGGTGTTAGTGCTATTTCCATCCATCTGAGATATAGAGAACATAGTTTCGCAAAACAAAATGAATCCATGTTGGCCCATTACACTTGGCTAACAGGAGTCAAGATAAAGAATAAGAAATGGGGAGTGGAAGCACTAGCAATTCCATGGACTGCTTAGAATAACGATTGCAATTTAGTTGAAAAGTTTATTAAAATGTTCAGTGTGACATTAAATATTGCTCTTAACATGGTCCAAGCAATATGCAATTTGGTTTAAGTCCATGTTACTGAATTATATGTACCTATAGCACATGAGAAGCCATGTCTGGATGGATGTAAAAATAACTGTGTGACTTACATTCTAACTAAGGAAACTGTCACTTTACATGGGACAGTTAGCAGAAAATAGTTCTACCTGTGTGCGGAGTCTGAGTAAAACTCTCAAAAGAGCATTTCCGGAAACTTTATGATGGAACAAGATTCCTTGACATGCAAATACATAGATGTCTATATTGCAACAAGATTTTAATTCTGTTTCAAGGTAAGTGTTAAATAACTCACATGAAATAAGAAATAGATGCATCTTTATGGAAATCAGACAAAGAGGGAAGATTTTGTTTTCTTGCAAGTATAATTCAATCCTCCTTGCAGCTAAATTCCAAAGTAATTATTATGTATAATATTTATCTCTAATGATTGTGGGAGCGAATTTGCACTGGACATTGCTTTTCTCACATTATGGTTAATTTTTCTCTTTATTATTAACATTACTGTGCTCTTATTGTTGCTTTAAAAATGTTTAACGGTAGTATTGTGAACTTGGTTTTTAGTTTTCTTTTGAATAACTGATGAGAACACCAAATGGCAATATTTCTTCCTTATGGGAAATCTTTTTCTATTAAAAAAAAAAAAAAAGTAAAGAAAGTATTAACATTTAATATCAGATAAGTTGGTCTAAGGATTCTCATTTTTAAGGGGTTTTGATCTTACTGCTTCATGTGAACAGAATAGCAAAATCTTTGAGTCGCACATTAAGGGAATTTTGTAAATATGGAAGGATTTACTATTGCGTCTTTTCCCCAAGCTATTTTGGAAAAGGGTGTTTTTTTGTGTGAAGTGTAGTTACTGTGGAGTAAATAAGATGGCTTTTTGATAACTGAGTAGATTAAGTAGAGAATGAAGAGGAAAAAAATGCTGTCATTTTTGTTTATGGTACCCTAAGTTAGGTTACATACCTAAGAAGGGAATGTCTGCACTATGCAGCTTTTAGTGCCAAGGCTGTAGCTACATATCCTTGTCACTGAAAGGCAGCGTGTGTGAACACTAGGGGATATTAAAATGTGGGTGTTTTTGTGAGGTTCTAACGGCTGAAATGTGCAGTGGTTACATGTTTATAAGTGTGTATTAAATATTGGCCATTTCCAAAGTCCCATGTTCCCAGAAACTGATAGATCTTTGGGCATACTGGACTCTGCTAGCAGTTATTTTAACTTGCTGTCTTTCAGAGTGTTTCTGATGTAAAAAATCCAGCTTTGAGTACCTCTTTGGGTAGGGTATTAATATGTAACCAATAATCCTGATTATAATTTTGTAGAAAACACTTTTAAAATGTACTTGTTCTCTAAAAATTCTAACAAATCTTAAGGGCTTTTTGCTGCAGTTTTCTAATTAAGCATATCTGAATCTTATTAACTATTTAGTAAGATGATTGAGTTTTACCTTTTTATGTGAAGGTAAAACATGACTTAGAAGTAAGCTGTCTTTAGCATTCTGCCACAAATCAATTCTGACTATAACTGGCTTTAATCCCTGGGCCATCCCATATTATGGAATTAGGTTTCTCACTCTATAGCCGCATTTCACTCTATAGCTGCATTTGGCAGTTATTTTATATCATGATGGTGCCACCAATTGAATCAATATGTTAATAAAATATTGATCAACAAAAAAGTTTTTGCTTCAAAATTGATTGACAGTGCCCCTTTTTGTTTGATATTTTGTATTCCAACAGGAATTGGGTCATATGGCTTTTATATCCCATCTGTAATGTTCTGTTTTGATATAGTGACTGAATTAGGAACAGATTGCCCCTTTGTATATATGAGCATACATTTTAGGCAGTAGTGCTGAGTAGTGATGGTTTGTGTTAAGGGCAAGTGCTCCATTGACTATTTTTAAAAACTGTTCTGAAATTTTGAATATGTGACGGCCATTTAGATGTTTAAGGGAGTAGTCACTAGTACTCGAGTTGAGTACTCACATCACCCCTCCCTCTTGCTGCCTATGTAGCAGGACTCAGTTTGCCTCAGCACTGTCTCTGTTGTACTGCTCATTCCCTCTCCATGCTGTCCCTCTCACATTTTTCATATTTGGGATTTGTGTCCAGCTCTAATTGGTTGTAAATTCAAATTAATTTAAAACACACTAAAAACATTGTATTTTTTTATTAAATAAAACTACCTTAAAGTGCTAATACATAAATTCTTTTCTTTCTCAAAACTAACTGATTTACTAGTTAGGGAATTAAAAACATTGTTTCAGGTCTTCATGTGCTTTAAGATTTTAGAACTTCGTTACTTATAGACTAAAAGTGGAGAACAAGCTGGTTTCGTACTTTAACAAATTCTGGCCACCAGTTCAGGCGGACTCTCTTTAAAATTTGGCACCAAACATGTAATTTTTAATTGTCTTCAAATTAAAACTGTCACAGCAGATTATATATAAATGTGCTATTTTAATCCATCCTGACTCCAATGTCATACCTAACACCCTTGTTACTGAAGTAAAAAAGTAAGCTTAGGAGCAAAGCTTCAGCTTGTCAAGGAAG